TCAGGCTGGTCTCGAACTCCTGAGCTCAAACAATCCGCCCGCCTTGGCCTCCCAGAGTGCTAGGATTACAGGCGTGAGCCACCGCGCCCGGCCTGGCTAATATTTTTAATTTTTGTTTTTTGTAGAGATGGGGTCTCACTATATTGCCCAGGCCAGTCTTGAACTCCTGGCTTCGAGTGATCCTCCCACCTCAGCCTCCCAAAGTGCTGGGATTACGGGCATGAGCTACTGTGTTCTACCTTGTTTTGCTTTTTTAATGTGGCTATTAGGAAATGTAAAATGACATGTGTGGCTCACATGCTCTCCCTGTTGGACAGTGCTAGGGCAGAGCCTGTGCTCTGTTGCGTCTCCCCGAGAGACCACCAATTAGGGGAAACAAGGACAGTAACTCCTCTCTTTTTGACCCATCAGGATTTGTAAGGTCCTCTGGAAGGAGAGAATTACAGAAATATTGAGTCTGGAAGGAGCACCTAGCCCTGGACCACGGGAGGACTGACTCCTCAGCACAGCCTAGCATCTGGGGGCCAACAGAGGAGCTTCACAAAGACTTAGTGTATGGGCTGGGCACGGCGGCTCATGCCTGTAATCCTAGCACTCTGGGAGGCCGAGGTGGGAGGATTGCTTGAGCTCAGGAGTTCGAGACCAGCCTGAGCAAGAGCGAGACCCCATCTCTACTAAAAACAGAAAGAAATTAGCCAAACAACTAAAAAAAAAAAAAAATTAGCCAGGCATGGTGGCACATGCCAGCTACCTGGGAGGCTGAGGCAGGAGGATCGCTTGAGTCTAGGAGTTGGAGGTTGCTGTGAGCTAGGCTGATGCCACGGCACTCTAGCTCAGGCAAGACAGTGAGACTCTGTCTCAAAAAACAACAACAACAACAAAGACTTAGTGTGTGAACAGTGGGGACCATCAAAAGCCACATGCTGAATGAATGACTCCACCATGGTGTAACTACCGCTTCTGAGCTGACCCCTGGGGAACATTCCAGGGACCCAAGTTCACCTCATCTAGGGAGCAGATGGAGCCAGAACCCAGGTGTTCAGCCAACGTTCCTCAGGGGATCCAAGGCTCCCCATGGTCTTACCTTGTAGTAGTTGTTGCTGTAGAAGCAATTGCAGGAAGAGGCATTGATGCAGCGGTTGTCACTAAACAAAAAGCCGGGGTTGCAGACACAGCCCCCCTGGCAGAGGAGCCCGCAGCTGGGCCTGGGGTTCTTGCAGGAAGCAGGACAAGCACAGGATTCATAGTGGGCATTCGGGGGGCAGCTCTCTAAGGGGAGAACACAGCCTCCATTAAGCCTGCATGCCACAGCTTTTCTCGGGGGGCCCCCCTGCCTCTCCTCTACCCCAAAACTCAAGTGCCTCTCTAAGATGTAGGCCTGTGTTATTCAGCTCTGACACATGCTACAACAGGGTGAACCTTGCAAACATTATGCTTGGTGACAGACGCCAGACACAAAGCCCACATATTGTATCGACTGTCTGGAACAGGCTGATACACGCATATAGGAAGGAGATTTGTGGCTGTCAAGGGCTGGGGGAGAGGGGACTGGGGACTGACTGTTAATGGTTTTGGGGTTTCTTTTCAGCATGATGAAAATATCTCAAATTAGAAGATGATGATGGCTGCACAACCTTGTGAAGATACTATAAACCAGGGAATTGTACACTTTAAAAGGGAGAATTTTATGGACTATGAATTATATTTCAATAACAAACAAGGAGAAGAGGCCGGGCGCGGTGGCTCACGCCTGTAATCCTAGCTCTCTGGGAGGCCAAGGCGGGCGGATTGTTTGAGCTCAGGAGTTCGAAACCAGCCTGA